AGTTCCGTAATGGGATCCCTTTGACTGCTGCCACTGCTGCTAATTTTTCTTCTAACGAGCTCCGACTACTCTCCGCAAGGTATCCATTTCCCCTTTTTTTCATTTTAGAGTTGTGATTCAATGCTTTAAATTTTTGGAAACCCTAACTGGCATTTTGGGTATATTCAAATATTTCCTTCTTAATTGTCTCAATATATATGCCACTGCTATGAGCTATAAGATTCTGTAATTCATTTTAATTTATAAAAATTCTCATGATAGGAGTTCCTGTTCTTTCTTTTATTTCATTTGCTGTCAGTGTTGGAATCTTTGTTATCTGCAAAAGAAAATTTCTCCACCACAGATGACTTAACACCCCTACCTATCCTGATACTGAACCATAGAGGTTGCGGAAAAAAATCAAAAGATTTGATAGATCAAGCTATTAACATGCTCATATATATATATATATATATATATATATATATATATATATATATATATATATATATATATGTGTATTTGACTATTTGTAATTCATTAGCCATTTTGCTTCATGATTTTGGATAATGAGTTTATTTATATGTGAATTTGGTTTTCTTTAGAACCCATACTCTGTGAACATCCTTCTTGCTGGTTATGACAGAGAGACAAGCCCTTCACTATACTATATTGACTACATTGCAACACTTTGCAAGCTTGAAAAGGGAGCTTTTGATTATGGCTCCTATTTTTTACTGTCAATGATGGACAGACACTGCCATAGTGGAATATCAATGGAAGAAGCAATTGATCTCATTGATAAAAGCATTATGGAAATAAGATTGAGGTTGGTTGTGGCACCACCAAAATTTGTTATCAAGATAGTTGACAAGGATGGTGCAAGAGAGTATGCATAGCGAGAATCAGTCAAGGATACTCCTACTCCTCCAGCTTGAGTTAACTCTGTTTCTTATTTTGGTTGGACTTCATGCCATTTGCCTATGCTTTTCTCTTTCTACATTTTTATTTTCACTTCCTCTTGCTACTATTGTCTATTGTGTTGAATTAATATGTATGATTAGTTTTATTATAAAATGAATTTGTGGCAATGTATGAGGTAGGCTTGATTTTAATATACCTCAAGGTGGGGATTTTGGAAATTTGTGAATAACATTTGAGGAAAGAGGGAGGAGTGCTGTTTAGGAGTGTGTCTTCACTATTTCATATCTCATCATTGTTGTGTAAGCCAACATGGCAATATGGTTATTCTTGTGATGGCCATGTGAAAAAGAAGCTACCTTATTTTAGCTTAATTAATGGTAGACAATGACAAAGAAAATAGAATGAAGATTTCAGATGAAAACCATGATATTTGGGTCTCAAATGTTTATAAAATGTTTGAGATATTTTGAATCATACCTGAGATATTTGGGTCTCAAATTTTTGCTAAACCCTAAAATCTATGAGCTCACCATATGAGGCCGAGTATATTTCCTCGTTTAAAGTATTATCACTACTCTCTATTCGCTCAGCACAAACTCGTGGAGAATCTGCTCTAACATCAATTTTGCTAACAGCTTGATCTACTTGTTTTTCATCTTCTGACCGAAAACTCAACTTTGATTATACAAGTATCATTCACGATAAACCCACGGCTGGAATCCCAAAGTTCAACTAAAGGTATGAAATGTTTATAAAATAGAATCAACTTTTTTTAAAATATGGAAAAAATTTATTTCTATAAAAATTATTTTATTTTTTGGACATAATGATCAATAGATTTTTATATAAATTAATATCATATGACATGTTTGAAAGAATTATATAATTTTTTTTTAAAGGGTATTTTTGTCAAAAATATTTATTTTTATCCTATCTGGTACTATACATTGCATTACCAAACACTGGATAGTATTATTTTATACAATACATTATCTTATACAATGTCATGCCAAACATTGTATAGTATTAAAATTTAATCAGGTCTTATACAATCAGGTCTTATACTATCAAGCCTTATACTATCAGGTCTTATACTATACTATGCACCAAACATGCCCTAAAAAAATGAATAGACACTAAAAAATGCCAATAACTTCACCTTTTAAAATAAGCCTTATTAACTCTAAGGATAGCTTAGTTAACGGGAAAAAAATTTATTTATTGTAATTTAATTAAATAATTACTTAAATATGACATGGGAAATATTTATGCATCTATTGCACACTGTGAAACCCCACTGAGCGTCTCTTATGAAGGGGAAGACGGTCAAATGGGGCGTCTCTCACGAGGTGGTGACACGTGTCACTTGTTTTACAAAAAAAAAAATTAATTTAATCATAAAACTTCTAAAAGCCATAACTTTTGACTCGAGTATCCAAATCAGGTAATTTTTTTTATTCCACATAACTTTTCGAGATCTACGCAATGATATGTCATTTGATATATTTTATTTCTCACCAACATAATTTAAATTTAAATCAGGTAATTTTTTCTTCCTTAGATATTTAGAATATTTATTTAATTATTTCCTTTATTAATACAGATTTTTCAAATTGATTTTTGAATTTAAATCACAAATCAAATCTTTATTTTATTTTCCTTATTAATAATAATTGTTACTTTTAGTTTAAATCACAAACCAAATTTTTTTATAATAAAAATAAAAAAAAAAAATTTTTAATATAAATCACACATCAAATCTTGATTTATTTTTTGTATTAAATCACAAACGCAGAACTCAGAGGCTTCTGAGTTTAAAAATGTGACACGTGTCAAACACTTGTCAAAACCTAACACATCACCAATCACGTCTAAATTGGGTTTCAATCAAGAGGAAATCACGCCTAATTTAGGTAATTTTATTTTTGAAAAACATTCATAAGCCATCATTAATCTCAGACCACGAATAATAACCCAGAAGTAGGGGTGTTCGCGGTCTAGATTGGATCGGTTTTGGAAGCAAAAATCATCTGATCCAATCCCTTCGGTTTGATCATATAATCATCCATTCGGTTTTTATTTTTTTTCAAATCCGATCCGATCCAATCCAATTTTTTTCGGTTTGGATTGGATCGATTTTCGGTTTTTTGAAAATCCTAAAATTTGCAAAGAACATCTTTTGTATATATTGGCTTTGTAATTTTTTTTTTTTGAAATACAAAAACATTAGTAAACTATAATATAATTTTTTTAATTTTAGCAATGAGATATGAAGCTCAACAAAGATAAAATTTTGTTGATGAGATATGACTAGATTTTTTCTTGGGTTTAGTTGATGGGTTAATGAGTCTTGGGTTTAGAAATTTTTAGGCTATGATTAGGGAAATACCCAAGTAGGTAGAGGGAAATTAATACATTGGATTGGTTTGGATTGGATCGATTTTCATCAACCCATCCAAAAATCGATCCAATCCAATTAAAATTTGCGGTTTTTAATCGGTTTTTGGTTTTTCGATTTTCGGTTTATTCGGTTATCGATTTTTCGGTTCGGTCACCGCGGTTTGAATCGGTTTGGATCGGTTGATGAACACCCCTACCCAGAAGCTTATAGCATTAATGATTAATTTTAAAAATAATATCCTTCTTCCTTAGAAATTTAGAATATTTATTTAATTATTTTCTTTATTTCTACAGATTTTTCAAATTGATTTTTTAGTTTAAATCACAAATCAAATCTTTATTTTGTTTTCCTTATAAATAATAATTTTTTTTTATTTTGAATTTAAATCACAAACCAAAATTTTGTTATAATAAAGAAAATTATTATAAAAAAAATTTAAATCACAAATCAAAATTTTTATTTATTTTTTTATATTAAATCACAAATCCAGAACTCAGAGGCTTCTGGGTTTAACCGCTCTTATAATACCATTCTTGCAAATTAAAATTGTATTTGTGAGAAATAAAATATGTCAAATGAGATGTCATTGCGTAGATCTCGAAAAGTTATGTGAAATCAAAAAAAGAATTACATGATTTGGATACTCGAGTCAAAAGTTATGGCCTTTAGAAGTTTTATGATTAAATTAATTTTTTTTTTTTGAAAAAACAAGTGACACGTGTCGCCACCTCATGAGAGACACCCCATTTGGGCGTCTTCCCCTTCATGAGAGACATCCCAATGGGACGTCATAGTGTGCAATAGATGCGTAAATATTCCCCAAACTGTCATATTTACGTAATTATTTAATTAAATTACAATAAATAAATTTTTATGCCCTTAGTTAACAATTGAAAGTTGAATGATTTATTTTGATCAAAAGTTCAAATCTTGACTAAAGCAAATATTTGCTCCCCGGGAATGAAAGCCCTCCAATGTACCTTCTATTTCAAAGAGATTAATTTAATCTTTAAGTTGATGCTTATTTTATAGGGAAAAAAGTTTCTGATGTTACTTTAGATAACTTTATCTAATGTTCATCGAAACGACGTCGTTTTGAGGTTGAAAAATTAAAAAATTAGAGTGATAAAGACTATTATAACCTTGAAATAAATTAAAATTACAAAAATACCATGATTTCCGTCCCAAAACAACGTCGTTTTGATAAACATTAGATAAAGTTATCTAAAGTAACATCAGAAAAAACAAACCCTATTTTATATTATAAAACACCAAATTGATATTCAAAATATTTGATAGAACGAGTTAATATCTTGTACGATTAATTCAAGTAATACTTTATAAATTATAGAAAATTACCAAGCAGTAAAAAATTTATTTTATTTTTTAAATAAATTCACAGGTACAAGTCCAGCTAACCAAAAAAAATTATTAGCATGATTTATATTACATAAATTTCCAACTTCTTTTTGAATTTTTTTAATAAAATATTCATTCTGCAAAACTAATTTTGATTTACACTAATATCAACAAATCTTAATCAATAAATGCAAAACTAATTTTGATTAACACTGATATCTACAAATCTGAAGAACTATACCAGCTTAAATAACCAAGGAAACGAGAGAAATATGAGCAATTCAAGAAGAGAACGAAGATGAGCCACACCAAATTGTTATTCAAACATGAAGCGGGTGAAATATATATGACATTTACGAGAGAATATATGATGAAAATGTATAATGTGCTGCATAACACCCATACAATGTTACAAATGACAAATTTGACAAAATAAATATCATCAAACCCCAGCTAACGGGCAGAATTATTTTTTTATTGTTTTTGCAAACTAAACAAATCAACCCAAACAATCACGACCTCAAACCAACAAATGGAATCATATACTGATATTACAACTGTAAAGAATGACACCCTCAAAGCATATATCCCCTCTAACATAAAACAAATAATATAACCAGGCTTTCTTGCCTAATATCCCAACCTAATACAAAACTGACATCGAAAAAGTAATCCAATCGTCGCATCCATCAATGAGTAACAGTATGGAGAAAAAATTCCTGCAACCAAAAGGCAAATAAATTCATTCAGGCCAACCACATAGATGTCATCATTGATAAAATTTTACAATTTAATTAAAAGATAAAACAAATTTGATCTATATAAAATAGAACAGCCAAAAGTTTAAGATAGAGAAATATTGAATATACTGAAAGGAAGATAAAGTATAAAGTTGTTCTCTAAAGTTACTAGTTAGTCAATCCATTAATCTTATGTAAACCAACAATGAACACAGCAAATTATCATATGATTTATGCCATTTTAAGCCAACAGGTTTCAATCCCAGCCTAATGCAAAAAACCAACAGTTTCTTACGGGAAGGGAAGCTGAGAAGAGGGTTAAATCTTGTCTTGGAAACTATCTGTAGGAGCCAGACATTCAGGAAAGCCAGTAACCATCATCATCATAAATCATGATATCAACAACAGTAATTCAAACCATCATACTTCATCAATCCCATTAAAAATGCAAAAAGTATGAAAGGGCATCCCGAAGATCTACTGTAAGTTGAAGTACACATGACACCCCTTGAATAAATTAGCTGAATTGACTGTTAAGTTGGATTCTAAATTATTAAACAAGTTTATAATAACTTACTGAATTGCCATACACTTAAGTAGTATAATATCTCCTAGAACTATATTTACTGAAATAAGAGGGTTGATTAAAAAGCGATCTCCAATAAATCACCGGGTTTGGCAGCACTGCTTCAGCACATTAAATCTACTAGTTTTTGCCTTCTTTTCCTTATTGGTCTCTGCTTTGTGATTGATATTCTCTGTTTCTTTCTTTTATATGGACATCATACCAAAGGCCATTGACAATGTCATTCAATCCCCAAAATGTTTTTGATAGGAAGGATTAATACCTTTCCACAAAGGCCAGAAGCCTTTCATTTTAATACTTTCCCTAAATCTTTACATTAGACCTATTTCTCACATAATCTCCCCAGAAAATGAAAAAATCAATACAAATTTGAACGGGGGAATCCTTTTCCCATAAATATAACTGAGAATGCCTTACAAACCTGACTAGTCTAAAGCCTAATCAGTTGTCAATAACTTGTTGCTTCTACCAAACCACAGAAAACACCTTGGACGGTACTAAAGACAAGCATCAACTTGTGATTCCACGAAACATGCTTATCAATTAATTATAATTATTCAGCCAATCATAGTTATTATAGGACATAGATCAAGCATATACACCTATAATTGTGGAAGTAAAAGATTCCAAAAATTTTACTATCTTTTCTACCATGAGTAAAAATATTCTGAAATAATCTCTCTATTAGTATTCCAAATACAGAAATTAGGATTTCAGTCTCAACTTTGAGAACCTAACAACAGAAAAGATAATTCCTGTCATAAACCCGAAAGATACACTTAATTTTCTTAGCAACAGAAAAACACTTGGTATAGCATTCCATTGTTCATGAAAACACAATTTCAGTGAAAGGTATAAGCTTTTAAAACTTTCAGATGCTACGATATCTCCCTAAATTTTCAAGAACAATTTGAAAGATATTCTGCTATAGGAACATGCAAACAAAAACTGTAGTAGAAGCATAGTCTTACTTACCTGTCTTGGGATGAAATGAAGAAGCCTTCAAAAATATTAACAAAGAAAATAGAAGCATTAATTTTGCCTCTATAAAGAATAACAAACTGAAGAAGAAAACTTAAAATTGCTCCAAGATGTAATGGAGTTTTGGAATACGCCGACGAAACAATGGTTCAAGTCGAAATGATGGAACATCAAACTGCCACCCATCATACATCTCATTCCACGCTTGCACTATCTCATCAATTTTGAACCCTGTGATTATGAAAATTGGTCTGTTAGTTCCCTGAAATATTTGAAACTCAAAAAGGAATCTGAGAAACACACACGATGGATCATATTTTCCCATCCTTTACCTTCCATTGCTGTCTCATTAGAACAATGGTTCTTTATCATGACACCAATGTCAGTTGAAGAAGCTCCAGCTAGTTCAAACTTTTCAACTGCAACCTCCAAACATTCCTCCCATGTTGGTAGGCCTAGCTTATATTCCACAACAGAACGCTCATACAATAAGGTGCCCCATAAAAGATATATTTGTAACCTCATCTTTGCAGCCTGCTCTTCAGCTTCATCAGAAGAAACATCCCTGAAAAGACCATGCAAACCCATTTTCTCTAACTGAGCTTTATATTTATCTAATTTGGATAATCCATTCAAACGTTGCTCCTCGATTTCCTCCCACATCAACATGCCTTTCTCCATGCTGTCCTCTGCCTTGTTATAGAGCTGTAGAACCTCATCTGAATGGCCAATTTCTAAATCCTTCTTGTTTGCAGTTAAATAACACCAGCAGAGCTTTGCTTGTTCAAACTGCTGATAACCAAGAGCCAGAAGTCCTTCATAAAAGTCGGGTTTGATCCTCACAGATTCTTCATATCTCATTTCTGCATTCATGTACTCCTTTTGAGCCCACTCATATGCAGCCTTAACATGCTCAAAAGAAGATTCTCTCGACCCATCCTCTGGAAAGGACACCCGCTTCCTAGCCCTGGACATGTGAACACTTCCCCAATTAAACAATGCCAAAGCTGCCATCTCTTGAAACTTATCGGCAGCAATTTCAAACAGTTCTTGTGCAGCATCACCTGTCACTGCATCCTCCATTGCTGCCGAATACAGCTTCATTCCAACCTCATGAATATCTAGATATGAATCCGAATCAAACCCAACATGGTTCTTAAACAGCCTCGCAAACTGGACAAGCCAGTCCTCCACAGTAGTCATCCTGTTAGCCGCACCTCTGCCTCCTTCCGCAGCAGCCCCATTCTCGACATCATCACCACCACCAGCAGCCGGTTTTCTGCCATCTCTTCGTGCCTCGCCATCACCGGTTGTCGTTGTCTCATCATAATCCGGCTCCTGATCCGGATTAACTTGTGTAACATAGAGCCGAATTGAGCCAAGCACGTGACAAGTTTCAGCCAACCTCAGTTCAGCAGTAGTAGTTATAGTAACCAAATCACCTTCTCGATCCCTATACTTAACAAGAACACCCTTTAACCCCGGAAACCGATCCCTTATCACATCCCTCACCAACCTCATACTACAATTCAAAGGCAACTGCGCCCACCTTATATCCTCTCCATATATCAACTTCACCGTCCTGGTCAAAGCCTTCTCTTTTTCTTGCTTAACAGGTTTCACTACCAATTTCTCTTCTTTCTTCACCAATCCCTTATCCTTAACATCACCATTATTCACCTTCTTCTCCTCAACAACCACCTTGCCCTTATCTTCAGCCCCACCATTACTATTAACTTTCTTCTTCTTCCTCATCTTCTCCCTCACCACTTTTCGCAACCGCGCACCGGGAGGCTCCTGCTGCTGCTGCTGCTGCTGCTGAACTATAGTAGCCAAAGCAATCTCAGTTTCATCCACAACGATCCCTTTCTCATCCATGGTCCTTCTCAAACTATCGAGAATCTCCAAAGCGGTGAGATTGTTGGGTTCAGAGTTAAGAACAACACGAACGTCCCTCATAGCTAAATCCAAACGATTCAAGGATTCGTAGCACTTGGCTCTCTTCAAGAGAGCCTTGCTATAACGAGGGGAAACTTGCAAAGCCAAGTTGCACTCGTTGATGGCTCGAGGGTACTCGCCGAGCCCTAATTGCATGTAACAAACGGCCATGTTGGTGTGAAGGTGTGCAACGTCGATGTGGTTCTTGGGAAGGAGCTTGAGGGCTTTTTCGTACTTTAACATAGCACCTTCGTGGTCCTTCTTCTGAAAAAGCCTGTTACCTTCCTCTTTCAGCTCGTGTGACATGTTGATGAACATCGCTGTGTCTTCGTCGAAAGCTTTCGACGACGAACCACGCTCGAATGCCTTGTTGTTGTTGTTGTTGTTGTTGTTGTTACCGTTCGCCCGTGGAGTTTCGGGATCCTTCTTTTTTCCCGTGGGCTTCCCCATCGTTCACTGAATCGATCGAAAAAGGAAAAAAAAAATCAAAACAGAGATTTGAAGGAAAATTCAATCTTGCGACCAAAAATGAATTGGAGAAATGAGAAGAAATATAGAATTTGTAATGATACAGTTATATTGCTAGGGTTTCTTTTGCCTCAAGTCAACGTCGAAAGGAGGAGGAGGATGGAAAGGGTTGTGGTGTGAAATAACGGAGTGGCCTAAAATTAAAGGGTCGGTGCTTTTTTTGAGGGGAAAAACCGAAAAACACAACCTAAAAGCCTGTGGAATGTGGAGGTTTGGCCCCACTTTTGAATGTTTATTTGTATACTTGATTTTAACACGTGGACTTTTGTTCTTTGTCTTTTTTCCTCGTATCTTTTTACCTTTTGATTCCTCCTTAATGAGACCAACACATGACTATAGAGATATTCCGTCCGTTTTTTTGTTGTTGCCCTTTTGATGGCAGTAATACAAGTAATGGCACCATACGGATTGACCAAGTATATTTTCTAAATATGCATGCAACAACCTATAAGATCATCAATTTTGAAGTTTTAGAAAGGCTTACTAATTTGCTAAAAAAATATTGAGGAGGGATATTCTCACTACCAAAAATTTTCACTACCAACTTACTACATATCTAATCACCCATTAGATTAACATTTTCTCTATCTTCAAAAACTTTTTAAAATTCTCTCTCTTTGATCCAATGGTGATGTGATAGATAGTAAATTAGTAGTAAGAATTTTTGATAGTTAGAATATCCTTACTCAAAAATATTATACCAATGAGATTATAAGCCACGGTGAAGAAAGGGGCTCTGTTCTCCACTGTACTCTGTTGAGATGGACTTAGATTTTATAAATTAGATCATACCTTACATATTAAAAATCACGAATTAAAGATTTTGTAACATACAAGCTATTGCATCACAGATCATGTATATATTATAATCCACTGCTTTAATTTTTCTCATTACGGGTTATATTCAGAGCACATTTCCACCTTTGGAGTACTATAAAAGAGGCCATACCCATAGGTACCACGTAAACATATAATGCCAATACAAACGATTGAAGAGAATGAATAAATTAATTAATAAATAAATAGCATGAATCTGCTACCATTGAAACCCTTCAAAAACAAATTTCATTAAAGAGAATGAGTGCAGAGTACTGGTTTACAAAGCTGCTGTACGGTCACTATTTACATGGCAAAATAGTAGCTGGTATCAGAAGTCAAAGCCCAAAACCAGAACACCACCTCAGTGAACATATTGTTTGATATTTCTAAGCTATCAAAAAATGGATTACATCCGTGCCCATCTTTTTTAAGCTACCGCAAACTAAAGTGATATCAGGAAGAGCTGTGTTTTGATACAAAGAAATAATATTTACAAAAACCTCCACGACCAACAATCACCACCCTTCCTTTTTCTTTTCCTTTACCTCTCTTTCATTTTCCCCTTCCCATCAACGGCTCCTGTTCACCGTCTCATTTCTGTTTTTAAAATGGTTGAGAAGGTAACTTTTCCGAATCAGGAAAACATCAGTTCCAGCAGCAAGACAAGAAACCCATGATTCCAGTCTCTACAGGTTGTACAATGTCCCTTTCTCGCTTGTGTAGCACTCTGACAAACTCATCTGAACTTAGGTTTCCATCCCGATTTGTGTCAAACAAATGGAAAACAATCTCAACCACATTGTCCGAGAGAGATATGCCACACACCTGAAATTGAAACAATCAAACATTAAGAATTTGCTGTCCTGGGCATATAATGTAAATCAAAAAATTCGCCAAGGAAAGAGAATTAGAAAAACACTGACTTGGTTTAATCTAAAGTCTACACACCAGAGCACATAATCTAAAAAGTTGATAGCAAAGAAATGTTTATAACATCGAGGAGATGATATAAAATCCTTGTCCTCCAAAAGAAAATGCCTATTCCTGATGAATGAACTCATGACGCATGAATAGATTAACCATTTTGTTCAAAAAAAGGACCGATGGGTATGGTAAGAAAGAACATAAACGCCAGAAGAAAAACTTATGTTAACTTTACAGTGAGAAAATAGTATAGAATATTGTGTGGAGATGGAAAATTGTGTTTCTTTCAATCTCCCAATGAAGCAAACCATATCAAATGTGCGCGAAACTCAGTTTTTTAGATACTAGTCCCACTACTATAACCAGAAAGCATAGATTACAGAATGCTCAATAGAGGCAGCCATTCCACTCCCCATTTCACATACTCTGCCCTTGTATTGATGCAAATCCCCCCACCATCATAAAATTGATGGAATAAGGTACCAAACATTCAGGGTTTTCTTTATCATTACTGAGAATTCATTAGAATGAAAGACAAAATAATTACCCCTTACCATCACTATTAAGTTAATCAAGAAACCAAAGATAAATGCCGTACATGTGACGCTGCTCGCTGAAAATCATCTCTCGTTAACAGGCCATTTACTTTTCCATAACCGATAAGGGCCAATGAAAACGGTAATAACTTTTTCCGTAGCTCTGCCAAGTTTTTGAAGTCCTCAAATGTGATGCGAACATCCTTAAAGCGTGGATCATCGTTCAATTCATCAACCCGATCAAGCAACCTGCCTAGATCACTCATGTTGGCAGAAGCAACAATGGAGAGTGCGAAGTCCTTGGCTGGTATGGTTTTTTGAGACTTATAGTCATAATGAGCAAACTCCAGTCTCACAATCTACACAAAATATTGCGATTAATTGTCATGCATAATCACTTTGAAGGTCATTGCAGAAAATGAACCTTTTCCAGCAAATGGAAAACAATAATCTTATGTTTATAAAATTTATGTTAGGAATTCAAATCCAAACAATAGCTTATGTACAGGCATAAGTTTAAAGTTATCCTGTTAAATCACAACCCCATATGCTAGGTATCCAGCAGCCCTCTAATCATTTTCACTATCCTTGTCCTTGCTTTTCCCTTTCGCAGATCAAAAAAGATCTAAAAATTAGCATGCCAAACCCACAAGTGCAACTACCATAGTTGACAAACACAGTTCCACAGAACAAACCTGTAAGTTTTCTTTTGAACTTTATAGGAATATGCGACTTAAATTTGCACACACAAATGTTCTTAGAACTATCTCAGATTACATATAAAAGCAAATATGGTTTTCTCAGTTCTAATGCTACTATCGCAACTACCACCACATTACTGATATTTCAACCATAAAAGTAAAAGAATAAAGGTATTTTTCTATAAGCATAATTATTATGCAAATATATCGTAAATACTCAGACAATTTTAACCTTGGGTTGTCAAATTGTTACTGTTGCTGCAGCGTATGCAGCCCCACTCACCATTTTGAATCTTTTTTATCTTATGGTGCTAACCCCTTGTGCAGATAAACATTAAAAGCCTAAGACTTCATTACTTGACTAAAGTTTAGCATAAAAATATGCTGGCCAGAAGAGATAGGCACTACTGTTTAAAGAGGGAATTCAAACCACCAGAAACCAAAAATCAAACTTATGATTTTATCATTCCCTGCATCATTTTTTTAGGATAAAGAGGGAATTCATCAAGACAAAGAGAAGAGCTTACAGTGCATTTGGAGGATAAGGAGTCCTCCCTAACATAAAAGAAAAACGCAAAAAAACTTCCAAAGAGAGAGAGAGTGAGAGTAAAACTTCAATGGAGCAAAGCTGCCTAATCCCTCAATATATAATTCCTACAAAATAAAATCAATCAAACCCCATAATGAATGGTGAAAATGAAGCAACTAGAAACTTACTTCATCATGCAATTCTCTCAAAAAATTTACAAATTTATCATGCTGGAGGCATCCCTTTCCATCTTTACCAAAAAAGTATTCCACCAGCCCTCCATTTTCCACAGAATCATTCACCTTTAGGCCAATTCGCAGTCCATCCCTATGGTGAACACCTTGTCGATGATGAGATCGCATCAATGCCATCACTTTCTTGAATTCTTCTTTACTTATCTCTCTGTAAATGGGGAAAACTAATGTCATCTGGAGAGAGGGAAAATAAGGTAAGAGCAAGCACCCACAGCACTTCAAATCCAATTCATAATATAGCTAGAATTACAATCCAACATTTTGTTTAGCCTTGAAACTGATGCCAGCGACAACAAACTAATAGCAACAACATCGTGCTCAAAAAATGACTAAATAATATAATAGTTAAAATAAGTAAAAAGCAGAATATACCATACAAGAAAGAAAGAATCACAATTTACAACACACCAACTCAGGCCATGAATACATTGGGCCTACTCAGTGATACTAAACTTTCAAAGAAGTAGCATGATAACTCACCCATTATTGTCCACATCAAACATTTTAAATGCCACAGAAAACCCTGACTCTGGGATGCTGAGTAGTGTTACGAAAAAGATATACCTGCTCCAAAGAAAAATAAGGGCATTGTGGACACACAGAAAAACATAGGTCATAAAGAGATAAAGATTAAAGAGAAGGTGGAAAGGAGAAGAAAATTAGCCCAAAGCCTTAGTTAAAGTGGAAGCAAGCCCCTTTGAGGACTTTTTTACACTAGAATCAATTCCTACTTAGGCATCTTTGCCTCCACATTACCCTATCTCCCTTCCCAGACCAGGTCTTAGACATCCTTTGTAACAAAAAAATGAAAATAGAAGAATTATAAACTGCACACAATTAAATAGTTAACACACCCTACTCCCAATCAACAAAATTCTTCACAAAGAAAGCAGACGGCTCACTCTTTAAATGATATAAGCCCGTCACTGTTTATGTCAAAAAGCATAAAAAATTCTGAAGGAGCACAGAGTAAATGGCCAGGACTTCTTTCTCCTCTCAAGCATCCATCTCTAACAAGGTGGGATTCTGATGGAGGGAAAACAGGAACCACAGCCCGCATTAGGTCTGCTGGTTTCATGAGTAGCTCTCCTTCCGGTGAAATGTAAGATGCAAAGTATTCAAAAACCTTAATGAAAAGAGAAGAGATTGTCAATGTAGATACCACTCTTCAGTAAAAGGACTTAGGCCCCTAATCAACCCAATGTAACCCATATTTTATTTTTTGATTTTTTTTAAAGATTGCTTAGGTATAGAAAATGTAGGAAGAATTGCGTAGTCTCTCTCAACTTTCCCCTTCAGCTAAAAACATGGATAAAAGGAAGTCCAAGCCTACGAAGCACCAACACTTCAAAAACACTGACATGTCGTGTCCCAACACTTCTCAACACTCTCCGACAATCCAACACGTGTTATAGAAATTCAAAAGAAGATTCATAGGTTGCGTTGCGTTGAGTTTTTAGTTTCAACTATTAGATTCGTTGGAGTACGATTATCATTTTATTGAGTTTAATATAAATATTTGGGATATCTTATGTTTCTTTGCAAAATTGATGAATATTATAAGTTTATTTTCATTTTTTTATTAAATATAATATACACAACATAAGTTAAAAATATTATTTAATATCAAAACATGGCCTAACGTGTCGAAATCTAACATTTTTTAGAATTAACGTGTGGGAGTGTCATGTCGTATCGTGTCACGTGTCGGTATCGGTGCTACGTAGGTCCAAGCTATATGGAAAATTAGCTACATTTTTATGTTTCTGTCAACTATGTTAATAACTAGTTATCATTTACAATTTGCAATGTTTCAACCTATATTTCAGTAGATTAAAATAAAATGCGCGACAAATAGCAGTTCCATTCAATTGTATTAGTGTTCAGCGTGCCTATTGTGAAATCACAAGGGAAGATGAAAATAGAAACTCACATTGCGGATTAATTAAAGGATTAACAACAACATTTATTGAACATGAGTCAAGATAGTTTAAAGGATGATTAATTACACGAATTGAACACAGTGCATACAGAGAGCGATTATTATGTTACAAAATTAATAACTAAACATGAACAACAAGGAAAACACCTTTTCCGGAGAACTTCGCAACCGTATGCGCTTCTCATAGTTGAAGAAAACCTTTCTCCTGTACGCATCTGCAGCAACCCCACAAAATAAATAAATAATTAACGTTTAACATTTCCATGAATCGAAATCAGAGAATGGCGTTTTGTCCTTAAAATGAGAAGAACTTGCCTCCAAAAAGCAAGGTACCAGTACTTTCGGGAAGGGATAACTTTTCAAAGAAGGAGGGAGAAAAACGACGTCGGATTTCGTCCGAGGACCAGTCAATGAGAGAAGATAGTGAGGTTTTCAAAAGAGCTGAGTCAAACTTGGAATTGGGTGTAGCGAAGGTGTACAGAAGAAACCCTAGACTCGTGCCAGCCACAATGGCCGAAAACCACTTCCAACTGAACCTGGAAACCGGGTTCGTTGTGTTCAGAAACGACGCCGCAGAAGAAGAAGAAGAAGAAGAAGTTGAAGAGTAGCGGATACGGAGCTGTTGGATTGAAAACTGTTGGGTGAAAGGTGAGGGTCTCCTCATAGAGGAAAAGGAAGACATGATGGCGTGTTTGTTTGCTTTAGAGACTCGAGAGAAATGATACAGAAAAAACCAGCTTTGAAGTCTCAGTGAAGGGGTATTTTGGTAATTTTTTTTTGGAAATATTTCGATTCATTCATTGTTTTACAGCTAATCCGATTAGGGGCGGGTACAAGATTAATGCCTTAAATTCCTTTCATCCCAAAACTGATACTGGGAGAATTTAAACACATGCTTTTATCCCCACCTGAATATCATGTGTTGTCAACTGAGCTATTACATTTGGTTATTTTGATAATTTTGTAGTCAATTTCCAAAAAAAATAATTTTGTAGTCAATGTAATTGCGCCTTCCTAGCCCATTGCGCCACAAAAGTCAAAAGGGTTCGCCTAAACTACTTAGGTTGGTTAAGTGTTTGTTTGATTGTGTTTTTTTTATTATTATTATTTTTAAAATTATTTTATAAAATAGATATTTTTGAGATAGGATATTATGATACACAAATAATGTTACGCACAATATTACGACCACATCTTAACCGTTGATTTCCGTCAATCAACGGTTATCATTTTTCAAATCAAACTCATTAATTAATTATTAATTCGCAATAAATGATAACCGTTGATTGGCGGAAATCAACGGTTAAGATGTGATCGTAACATTGTGCGTAACATTATTTGTATGTCACAATATTCTATCTCTTCTTTATTTTAAAAGTTAAAAATAAAAACAAGTCAGATATATTCTCTAAATTTGATTCTAAAAATTAAAAATAGGTTATAATTAATTTTACAAAATAGGTTATATCAAACAGGTTTTTTTTAAAAGGTAAAGTGATTTTATGTTATGGCTGTTAAATTCTCTTAGCCATTCGTATTGGATTGCGTAGTATTTATATGCTCGTCTAAGTTTACTTTGAAAATTTGTCAATTTTTTCACTATTGTGAATCTGCTGCAATCTTCTTTTTAAAATGTCTTTCTCTTCTTCTTTTTTTCTTTTTTTGAATGAAATATCTCTCTTTACTTATGTATGTCTCTTATTCTCAAACTGAAAACTCATTTTTAAATTAGTAGACTAATCCATCAAATATAAATTTATCGGCTAATTAATATTTAAATTATTAGTATAATATAAGCCAATAAAGAGTATAAATTGGAGGGGGGGCTTTTTTTCATTTACATAAAAATGGTAATAGGTCTAGTAAAAAAATAAAAGTATCTTTACCAATAAATAAATAAATAAAAGTATAGATTCGAGTTTAGAGGCTCGTGTTTTATTTCCTCTTGAACTCTTTACTGCAAAAAAAAGTAAAATAAAGAATAATAAATATTATCGTGTGAATTATTTTCACCTTGTGTACTCAAAGTGGTACATAGATGTCTCTCGTGAGGGTGAAGTATGTTGATATAGGGGTGTCTATAGTAACCATAGTAGAGACCAAGGCACTAGTAGAGCTTTCCATGTATGTGCTCAAGGGGGGAGTTTGTGTATGGCTAGGGTTGTTCTCCTGGTGATAGCGCATGAAGCTGAATGGAGAATAAGAGGATCCCTTCCTCAATGTGAGAGGGGGGTATTTAGAGCAAGAGCTCTAGTCAACCTAGCCAGTCTAGCCTTTTCAGGTTAGGCATGCTGAACCCCTGCCTTTGTGCAGGGGCAGCTGGTGTGCATGGGGAAGAGGGGGCATCCTATGATGCCTTCTAGAAGAGGGCTCCTTAGGCTGGGCCTAACGATTGGGCCTATGTGAGTGGGCTATCCAGAACAGAAGCCCCCCAGCTTGGTAGTTTTGCGAAGCAAGGGTGCCAATATGTATGGCAGCTTAAGCCGGTTGCTCGTAGTGTGCAGTGTTCCAAGTAGGATATAATGTAACCGATCGATAATACGTCAGCCTTCGTGAGTTGTTTATTTGTTGTCGTCGAGTATGAATTGTCTGACTGGCGATGCTTAAGTGCTTCAAGAGAGTCTTCTATTTGTGGCTTGCAATTGTGTTGAACTTTGTTGTCTTCAAAGATGCGCCTTGTTATCGATGAAGGTCTTCAAATGTTGTTGAAGTAGTAATAATTTAATTGTAAGAATAAGCTGGCGAGCTCATATTGATTCAAATAGCCTGAAGATGTTGACAACTGGAATAAGAATGTCTTGATGATCTGATAAAATAAAGTCGACAAGATTGCAGATTCGAACTTCGTGAGATAAATAAAGTAGTAGATGAGATCTTCTGGAGAGGATGATGTGTTCCAAAATAGAGAGTGATGATTCTCATGATAAATAAATATACTCCCTTCTTTAGAAATTAAACTTGCTGGTGACAAATAATGTCGTAGATAAAAGCTTCTGGAGAGAATAATGTGTTCCAAGAGAGAAAGAGGTTGGTAGTCTTCATAAATGATAAATGTGTGTATTCCAATGTACTCAAAGTGGTACATGGATGTCTCCCGTGAGGGTGAAGTATGTTGATATAGGGGTGTCCATAGTAACCATGGTAGAGACCAAGGCACCAGAGGAGCTTTCCATGTATGTGCTCAAGGGGGAGTGTGTGTATGGCTAGGGTTGTTCTCCTGGTGGCAGCGCATGAAGCTGAGTGGAGAAGAAGAGGATCCCCTCCTCAATGTTAGAGGGGGTTATTTAGAGCAAGAGCTCTAGTCAACCTAGCCAGTCTAGCCTTTTCAGGCTAGGCATGCTGAACCCCTGCCTTTGTGCAGGGGCAGCTGGTGTGCATGGGGAAGAGGGGGCATCCTATGATGCCTTCTAAAAGAGGGCTCCTTAGGCTGGGCCTAACGGTTGGGCCCACGTGAGTGGGCTATCCAGAACACCTTGCTTATTAAAAAAGGCTTTTATGATTTTTTTTCAGATTTTTCTTTTAGAATTATTTTTAGTATTGAGATAACTGAAGAACTTATCAGATATATTGAGATAACCGAAAAACTTATTAAATCATTTGCTATAGGGAGCCATATATGGATGAAATATATTAGGATATTGTGCACCTAGTGAATAGTTTTGTATCTGACTTAGTGAAGGGATGCAACATTTAGTGGGTGGTTAATAGTAGTGGAGGGAGTTGAGAGAGAGTAGTGGAGAGAAATATTTAGTGCATGTCATACAATAAGGATAATAATTGGGGATCATTTCACTAATCCATAACAATAACATATAGTAAAGAAATTGATGGAATAGATATAGTGAAGTTTTAACTATAAATGTTGAGTATTAATTTTTTTTTTTTTTTTGCCTAAAATGACAGCCTAATTGTGTAGCCTAGTTTTTTTTTTTTTTAAATAAAGAAAAATAAACAACAGTTAGCTACTAACCAGACAAGTCTGGGTGTAGAAACACCCATCAAATATTGTTGCACAAGGGAAGGGGTAGGGGTTTTAAAACAGGTTATGACATGCGGATTGACCCGTGACATGACACGAAAATTCATATTCAGGTTGACCTGCAAATAAATTCGTGTCGTAAAAAATGACCTGCAAAAAAATCGTGTCGTGTCATGTTGCGTGTCAAATATATGTAGACCCGTATTTTTTAATTTTTTAATTTTTATTTTTATTTTTAAATTTCAACCCATTTTTTTAAATTTTTTTTGTCAATTACCATTTTAACCCCTATATTACGTGTTATTTGTGTCGTGTCGTGTTCATGTTGATGTATTTATGTCATATCAAATTTGTGTCATGTCGAATTCATATTGTGTCAACCCGTTTTGACGTCCTCTACCTCGGGGGCTATCAAAAGTGATTGTATTCCAATCCTGAGAGAATGACAGATTGGCAAGCCAGTTCGCAACTCTGTTGGCCTCCCTATGGATGTGGGAAATTTTAAGGGATGTTTAATGATCAGTTGGATCTTATGTACCAAGGAATAACAAGGCTTGTGAGACTCACACCCTTTAGTCAAGAGCTTTACGTAGAGTCTCTTTCAAGCCAAATGATTTTGTAACCAGATCTTCAGGGATTGTCAAGCCCAATAAAGACACCCCGCCATTCAGCCACCAGAGAATTACTCCTACCTAGATTCTTGAAAAAATCCGCTAGACATCTGTCATTACTATCTCGCAGCACACCTCCACATCCCATTTTCCATCTACTACCAGCTTCAACCAAAGGTCCTTAGTCCATCCACAATCAATGACGGAGCCACGTTGGGACACGGGGGAGCCTTAGCCCAGGTTAAATTTGGAAAATTAACCACGATTTTAACGTAGCTAATTTGCAAGTTTATTTTTAAAACATTAGCCATGTTTAAATAACCGTGATCCAGACTAATTTTTTTTTTATCCAGGCTAAATTGCTACACTGGCTCCAACACTATCTATAATCTCTAAAAAATATGCAAGGAATCCTCAGTATGAGCTAGACATGGTGGGCAGCAATCTCGACGAACTAGCTTCAACCAAAGGTCCTTAGCCTAGTTTATGGCCTTGTTTTTGGTGACTTCGCGTGCACGTGCCTTCCTTTCTGTGTAGGTGTGGGTGTTATCCTTATTCCTGCCTAGATACTAGTTACTACCAAGTGGTGCTTGGGCTGCTTTGTTGATATACCAAGATCATTTTAGGCCTAACATTCACTGGGTTTTCTGGAGTACAAGTTAATAGAAATTTGGCTTTTACTAGGACCTTATTGGGTCTGGCATTATTTGGGCTGGAGGGTACTTATTTATTACCTATTGAAGGACCATACCAAAAATTATAGGATTTATTCCCATATTAAGTAAGGGTTATATTTATCTTATTCAATATAAGATAAATCAAATTCTTACCTACATATAATAAAAATAAATTTCACCTCTATTTTTTTTCAATTATTTGTGGGTCTCTTTTATAATTTTATTTCATTAAAATAAGATAACTATTTTCAACAACATAAGAAAAATATTTCTCGTTAACTACTACATGTATCCCTTACAAAAAAAAGTAATACATTTATAAAAGAAATATGAAGAGTTGCAATTGTTAATAAAATAAATTATATTTTATAATATTATAGTTTATTGTACATGTACAATACTTTATTATGATTTTAATTTTTAAATTTTTTTATCAGCTATTATAATTCCCTACTTTATTTTTAAAGAGTCAAATCCAAACTTACAGAGGTTGAAATTTAACGTCTCTGGACAATTTTCCTTTAAGGAGCATTTGGTTGAGGAGAAATTTTTTGTAATTACTAGGGAAATGGTTGGAAAGTGAGTTTGGTAGGAAAATGTAAAAAAAGTTGTTTGCTTGACCGAAATATTATCAGAGAAGTTTATTTAAATTTGCAAAATCTATGTTCGGGAGAAACTTCGCACCTGTTTTTTCACTTCTCCATTTATCTCAAAATACCACATCTCAAGTAGTATTCTGTAACAGTGAATTTCATCCAAAAATCAACACAAAAGTCCTTTTCCCATTTATCCTATTTGCCTAGTATTTTTTTCAAAAACCTGAACCAAACGTAATATTTTCCAATATTTATTTACACTTTCCCATCAATTCCAAAATAAATCTTCTACCAAATACTACCTTAGGAGCCGTTTGGTATACGGATTTTTCTTAGATTTTTGGGAAATTGAATTTTTAAAATTTTAAATTTTCAGATATTATCTTAAACTGAATATAAAAATCATATTTTTAAAAATTAAAATTTTCGAACAAATAAAAATTTATCCTGTACGAAAAGTCGAAAACGGCAGATATGCCAATTGCCAGCAGTAGTTATTTTCTCTGTACTCTTTACAAATGGGGATAGTGGTTGAGTCCAGGATATATGAATTAGGTAATCAAAATCCTCAATCATAAATACTCTTCTTTCGGAATAGATACGCAACCTGCTAAGTTGGGGTGGGGTGGGGTGGGGTGGGTCTATTTCCAGTCTTGCCGTCTTGGCATTACGCGTCCGTTTCAAGTCCAATCAGGCAATTGATGCGAGGCCACGTTTGATCCAAAATGCGTAGCATGCAAATCAATTTTTTTTTCCAGCTTGTTTGTATTTTTCTTAGAGAAAAAATAAAATATTTTTTGAATTTTTTTTATCAAGAAACATTTTAATTATATATGAAATATGATATTATACTTATTTTTTTCCATGTCTATCTCTTTTATTTTAGATTATAATATCAACCTAGTGTTAAAGTTGTGGAAGAGAAAAAGAGTTAATTGAAATTGTGATCTAATAATTAGAGATAAATAAATAAAGTAGATATAAAAAAAATAGACAAAAAATTATTTAGATATATTTTTTGAGATAATTGGATAAATTTTTTGAAAAAAAAAACAGGGATAAATAAAAATTTTAATACTTTCTTATAAATCAAGAAGAATAACTTATTAAAAACAATCTCAATATGCATACATAATAGAAATATTTCTTTTGCAAATTTTGTCCTAATATACCTTTATTTCTATTTTTTTAAAATATAATATGATTATTATTGCGGTGTACGTCAATTTTCATTGACCAAAAATCAAAATTAGTTCTGACTTAGGAGGGCATATACCTCATGAGCAAATCATATTGTAGCTAAGCTGTCTTTGTCCCACATGATAAAAGTCACTATAATAATATTCATCATTTGCTTGGTAGATGGTAGTCCTTTTCAACTCAATCCGCGTTTCCAACTTTGAATTCTTTCTGCAGTATTGGGCAATTTACAATTAGATTTTTTTTCTTTTAAATAAGTTTATTCCATTTTAAAGTTTTTTTATTAAGTTTTTATTTTTATTTTATTTCTACTTGATCTCCTCTTAATCTTTTAAAACCAATATTATTTCCATAACATGGCAATAAGGTGTCAAATGTCAATTTTGAAGATGGAATCCGTCCGTCTCAGATAGACCCGGCACCAGATAGCTGCATTGCACAACCAAACTGCAATTAAACAAATTAAATAGCATTTAAAGAAAACCATCAAAATAAATTAAAAAGGAGAAAAAAAAAAAGATAAAGAATATACCTTGCACCAAACGCAAAGCAAATGAACCAACGATAACGGAGAGTCAACGGCGGCAACGGAACCGCAATACGACGTAACGAACGACGGAACCACCACGCTTACGAAAATCGCGCATTCACGGCAAGCATAACAGAATCGTCGATGCCACTTAACCCATCACTTGCGAATTCTATGATTGGAATTATGTGATATTGCAAATTAAGCCTGAGATTAGATTTTGATTTTAAAGATATTTTCTTTAGATATAATTCTTAGTCTTGAATAATAAAAATTGTCCAAAACTCTCCTTCCATAGCAAATGTTATGTACAAAAAGCAATTCTCCGAGGCCAGTCTCATAGATCTGCGCCGGAATCTTCCATAGCTTCCGGCGACGTCGCTCGCAACCTAACCGATTCGCCGGCGGTGGAGAAGTAGAAGCTTCCGCTATAGTGGCAAAGCAAAGCAAACAGTAAGAAAACGGAACAAAATTCAGAGATCTTCCTCAGCCCTGGACATGGTGGAGAGACGACTCGGTCTCGGTTCGAACGCTGCTCTCCTCCTCTGCTGATGCGAAGAAGGGCGAATCAAAGCTGTCAGGGCTCGTTTCACCCACTCGCCTTCGACTCCTCCGATCCTCACCAGAGAGTTCTTCATCGCAGATCTACGCATGTTGAGACGGATCGACGGATATGAATCGGCGTTGTGGCTTCCGCCGCTGTTCTTGTGGAGGCTGCACCGGAACGAACCAGGGTGGTTCGTCGGCGAACACATACAGGCTTTCTTCTGGACCGAGATCGGCTGGTGGTTGTGGTGGCGGTGATGGTTTTTGTTGCCGATGACGTGGCTGGAAACGGTCCGGTTCGGGGAGATGGACCGGTTGTCGATGGAGAACCGAACGCCGGATGAGAGAGAAGCTGAAGCGTTGTATATGTTGACACGTGTAGGGGAAGCAGATCGATGATGGCTGTGAGTGTGAGGTTGGTTGAAGAAGGTTGAAGATGGTGACGAAAAGCTAGAGCTTATGGAAGAAGAGAAGGTTGTTTGTGGAGAATAAAACGATGAGTTTGATGTGGAATAGGAGCAGAACTTGCTTGAAGAAGGTGAGAGAGAACGTAGCACTGGTCCACTAGATCTTTTTTTTGAAGACGAGGTAGCCATTTCTATTGGAGAAGAAAGAAAGAACGAAGGAAGAAGAAGGAAGGAGAAGGAAAGGGTAAAAGGGACTTTTTGTATTCTTCTTCTTTTTCTAAGTCCCCTTTGGGGAGCTGGTTCGGCAAACCTAGCGAGTCTCGCAGGCTACTTTTATAGTGCTAGGGTGATTGGTGATTAAGTGCGAGTCTAATGGTGTTTTGGTAATAGTGTTAGTTAACTTAACCATGGTTAACTGAGGTTGGTTCAGTGTGGCGTATGAAATGAATGTGGTATGGTTTAGATTCTGATCTAACGGCTGATGCCGTGCGACGTGGTTACAGAAAACGACGAAAAGCTGGTTCCTCTCTAACTTCCAGGTTTCCTTGCTAATTCGAATGGCTGCCACGTGTATGAAAATAAGGTTAATGGTCGAATGTTATAGTTGGAGAAAACAACTTTTTTGTCCCAAATCACATTGCCAATGCCGTTTTGTAACTTTTGCTTTTGCGTTTTACTGTCTCGGATCTTTTTGCAAAGAGAAAGAAAGAAGCACGGTGTCCCTACCACTAGAAATCTAGAATAATCTTCCTCCCGTCTCGGGGGCATTAATTGTTGACCATGCTGCTACGCATAATTTATGGGTTGCCCGCTCCCATCTTTAACAAGATACGTATATGATACATAAAAGATTTATTTATTTTTTTCTGTTTTATTATTGGATTTGATTCCAAAAGCTATATGTTTAATGCTTGGAATACAAATGGTGTGACATCTCCTCGTGACGAGTTATACGATTAGGTGAACAAATTGGCGTAAGACGTTACATATTTATTCAATTAGTAAATGACATTGTTGTGACCTGTGAAACGAGTTAACCCAATTACTTTTTCTCGCGTCCGATAATTACTAGCATTTTCTATGGTGTATGCCTATCGTACTTAAAATTTGGATTTAAATTTTAAAATCTTGACTTTAACGATTTATTTTTGTTAAAATGATTTAGATTTCACTTAAAATTGTTTTTAATATAAAATTTTGATTCAGACATTTACTTAAGTCTTGATTTTAAGATTTAAATCTCGATTTTAACTATTGAAATGATGTTAAGTATGTTAAAAAAATTGTTGAATATAACATTGCTGATGTTTCATCCGAAGATAAATGATTGTGGAAAATGAAAGAACTTTATCTCATGATAAAAGTTTAGATGAAGACAATTTTGAATGATATAGTTGAAGATCACGTGGAACAGAATGTCTTCGATGATAATAACTTGAATGATTTATTAGCTTAGACCCTTAGAGTGTGACAATTGTATGCAAATGTATAAGGATGGTGGCAGGTAGTCTATTTTTCTTAAAAAAAATTATACATAAGCATGTATATATAAAAATTTAATTTTAGAGTGCATGTAAAATCTACGATTTTTATTACGATTTAAAATTTACGATTTTTTATTCTTTTTTATTTTAGGTAAAATTCCGATTTTGACTATCTTGGTATGGCCCTTCATTGGTTTCACTTTTTTTTCTTTTTGCAATTATTTAAAATGAACTTTTATTCCATAGGAAATTTGATTTTAGCATATGAAAGGGAGCTTTGGGAGAGGAAATATAAGGCGGGCGTGTTCATACTCGCAAGTGGAACTAATAAACAGGAGTTGAATAGGTGTAGCCATCTTTGTGGAAATAAAAAATTGTGAGGAACCGTTGTTGTAATTTAAAAACATAAAATAATATAAATAAATGTCAGCAACTCAAACTGCGTTGGGCTCAAGCTATTAATTTGAATTTGAATAAAATAATAATTATGAGTGGAGGACCCTCTCTCCTCAAATTAGTCAGTTACCGTTTTGTTGGACTAATTCTAAATCGTACGCTGTGCAAGTGGACTTCGTAATCGTAATTCATATTGGTTTTACAAACAAGTTTGACTAGTGGATGAATTATATAAATATTTTTAAATTTATATAAGTTTTAAAATAAAATTTAAAAAATTTGAGAAAAAACATTAACAATTATGAAAAGATGGAATTGTAATGATATCTACCTATCTTCCCACCCTAGTACCTTTCTATTATTATTAGATTGTATTTAAATTAACGAATGAAATAGAGAGAAACAAAAGATGTAATTAGTTCAGAAAAATAAAGAAGAGAGAAGTAAAATAAAAAAATTATTCTATTTGAGATCGTTGAACTGTATTTAATCCAATGTTATTAAAATCGGCCCGGTCATTGACTCGATCGGGGTACTGGGTCACTGGTTCAATCAGTGGGTCACTAGTTCAATCGCATGACCCGGTAATTATATTTAATTTTATAAAAAATTATAAACAAACTGAAATATCTAAAAAATTGATTAAAATTTCAAATATTTTAATATAAAAAATAATAAATCACTTATTATTATCCAATAAAGGATCAAACAAAAATATAATGATCGTGATACGAGGCTTTAGGTTCAGAAAATGACATCCTTAACAATAAATCAAATCAAATTTTTTTGCATAGTACATAATTGAGATAATATTAGTATTGTAAATACATAACTTATATAAGTTAATAATCAAAAAAATATTCAAATATGTCCATTATGATTTTTTTTTTGTGACCAGCCCGGGTCACCGGTTTTCATAAAAACCGGCCGGGTCGGACCGGGTCACACCGGTTCTGATGCATGGTCGGTTCGTTGTTTCAACCGGACCGGCTTACCGATTCCCGGGTCAGTCCGGGTTTAATAACACTGATTTAATCTAATAGTATTTAAAAGGTAGTAAAGATATGAAGATTAATTAGGTAGGTCAGCCCAAAATATATAAATAATTAACGGGATTTTAGTTTGTCCTTTAACATGACACACAAAAAATTTCTACTCACACAATATTTTATGGGGTCCGCACTTTTTAAAGCAAAAAAAATTAAGGCACGCAAAATAAATTTTTATAACATCACACAATCACTTTTTATATAACATAATTCTTATAAAATCCATAATTAATTAATTAAAATAAAAATTTAAATGGAAATTAAAGATATTTAATGCATAAATTTAATTTAAAAAAATAAAACTAAAACGTCTTATTTTTAAAAAGAGAGTAGATTAAGAAATTCATTACACTGAATAAAAATTGATCTAATTTAATCTATAGAAATAAATAAAAATTAGGGTGTTTTAATTTTTCTTTAATTTATTTTCTACTTATAAATTTATCATTGGTACTATTTTGTTGACCTGCAGAACTCCAACTCCTCGTACGAAAGGAAGACAATTTATATTTACCACATGTAATCAGGGTTGAAATAAGTAAAAATAAGGAAGACAATTTAAACCTTTTTCAAATTTCAAATTAAGCTAAAAATTGTTTTTTCGGATCTAATACAAAAAATTTATCAAATGAATCCGAGTATATATTTTTTTTCCTGGACTCGGGTGACATTAATCATAAAAGATGGTTGAAATAAGTAAAATTAAATAAATTATTTTCTATTTTTAATTTTTACATTGTAACATCCCGAGCACTAACAAGGGCGGGGAGTGATCGCCGGTGCAAAGAGGCACAGACAAGGAACGGCTCCTGACAGCCTTCCAGTGTGGGGTTACATGAATGAATGAATTGAATTGACACCCGAATGAGAGAGATTCTAAAGACTGTGCAGGTATGAGACTGCACAGTTTGGGATAGCTTATAAGAATTAATTGGTATTACCTATACTAACAAGATGCATCTGCTTTTCGGTAGCCCAGAACGGAAGAACTCCACAGTTAAGCGTGCTTGACTTGGAGCAATTCTGGGATGGGTGACCTCTTTGGAAGTTTTCAAAGAAAGTGTGCGAGTGAGGAAAAAGCACACTGAAAAGTCTCGTGTTAGTATGTGGGGATAGTCATTGATTCTTGAAGCGGTCGGGCGTTACAAGTGGTATCAGAACAGGGCCTCTCTTCCAGTACGGTGTGGTTCGAGGACGAACCAGGCGGAAGCTGGTGGGCATGTAATATCCCGAGCACTGACGAGGGCGGGGAGTGATCGTCGGTTCATGAGACTGCACAGTTTGTGATAGCTTATAAGAATTAATTGGTACTACCTATACTAACAAGATGCATCTGCTTTTCAGTAGCCCAGAACAGAAGAACTTCACAGCTAAGCGTGCTTGACTTGGAGCAATTCTGGGATGGGTGACCTCCTGATAAGTTTTTCAGGAAGTGCGCGAGTGAGGAAAAAGCACACTGAAAAGTCTCGTATTAGTATGTGGGGATAATTATTGATTCTTGAAGCGGCCGAGCGTTACATATATCAGGTGTTCATTGCCACGAAAGGGTTACCTTTCAGGTTTCGCACCTCGTTCAAGATTGTAAATTTGTAACGAACGTGGCTCGGCTTTGCAAGCAAATTATATAGTTGTAAAATATTTGACATATATCTCAACTATGTTTACCAAAAGGAAGAACACACTTCCTTTCAACAAATGCACGTTTGTGTTGGCCAGAAATCAAAATAAAGTTGTTGGTCGTTTGTAATTGTCATTCGTGCTCAGTGGGAGAATTTTGGTCTTGGGAATTTTTTTTCCCCTCGTAATACTTTCCTCCCCATTACAAATTACTATTTGGTTAAATTCTGTTGAGAAGCATGACAAAAAAAGTTTGAGTAAGATGAAGGAAAATAAAAGATGAGAAAATTGAACTTGCGTAAAATTGGTTCGACAAATATAATACAATACCAATTAGGCAGTTTTATATTAAAAGGGAGAAGTAACAAACTACTAATTATATTGGCTCATCAAACTAATTTAATCAATATACAAGCCAGTAGACAATAGTACTACTAATGGTGTAATACCTCCACAAGCATGTTGGTTGGTTATGTGATCTGTATATTGAATTGATTTATTTCAAAGTAATTGATTTTTTGTGTGATCTGTAATAATCAATTTATCCTTCCATAATTTCAAAGTAGGTTGGTTGTGTGATCTGTATATTGAATTGATTTATTGCAACAAAGCATTATCCAAGAGCCTAAAGATATTCTTTCACAGAAATCCATATTATCTACATCTCAAATACCTCATTTATCCACAGATCTCTCTTCTACCGATTAGTTGTGTGATCTGTCTTTTTGATTTCTTTTTCTAATCTTGAT